CCACAACCAAAGTTAAGGGTAAATCTAGGCAACAATTTTTGCGTGACGTGCAATGGTTATCTGAAAATATCATTGATTTGGATTTCAGGCATAGCTGAGGATGATCTGGTTCTTGAAGTGGTCATATTAATTGGTACGGTGTCGTTAGATGATGAATGCGCTACAGTGTTTGCGAGAGAGGGGATCATTCAAATGCTCATAGACTTGTTAAACGGTAAGAATCACAACTCGCTCTTGCTATTATTACTTGGCATATCTCCCAGCCTTTCTTGAAATAGTGAATTGTTCTGTACTAGTTCCAGCCACTACAGCAAAGGGTTCACTTACAAGGTAACGAGTTAATTTACAAGAGTATCCTGGCCAGGTTTTTAATGCAGTGTTTAGGCTATCTTTTATCTTTTTATTTCAGCTTTTTTTTTTTAAATGTGACTGGCGTCCCTCTTCATGTACTGTTAAAATTAATAGGGCTATAACATTCTGCAAAAGTTATTGTTATAATAATGACCAGAAGTAGTAGTGCATACCACTCGAGTTGCATAGAATTTTTATCCGAAGGCAGATCCCAAATTTGCTTGATTGTAAGCTTTGTTTTCTTAATGAAGGTTATGTGACCAGTATCACTCGGATGACAATGAAATTCCGAGCACGAATTAAAATGACCTACAACCGCTCGAAATAATAGTAAACGAGTTTTGAAATAAAAGACGCTAAATGGGCGCCAGAAAGGCTGATTTGCTCACATGTTTACGTTTTTAAGCTAATGTACCTTGTCTTTTCACTTCTGCAGCTAAACAAGAAGATGATGAAGTTGTTTTGCAAATCGTGTATGTGTTTTACCAGATGATATTTCACAAAGCTACCCGGGAAGTGATTATCAAGCAAACACGTATCCTTTGAAGACGTAATCCTTTTACTCCTCTATTCTCCCCGTTCGCGTAACCCTTCATTTCCCCAAACTGTGCGCGAATCAAAATTAAATAAAAATGTACAAATTTTAGTTTCAAGACAAGAAAATAGTTGGTACCATGTCTAAGCTCCGCGTGAGAGGTTCTGTTTGGTTGATCACACCAGAGGGTGTTCCTCATATATGATGTATTAAAGGCATTTGTCTTGCGTGTATCATTTCAGTTAACACAACAGCAGACTCTATGCTCGCTTGTTGTTATGTATTTCGTTTAAGCAAACTGCTTTTTGTAAGATGTATAAAAAAAAAGACACTTGTGATAAAATCCAACTTTGCTAATCATTTATAAACAAACCTGTGCAAAGACAAATGGATCAGCATCAGATCCTAGGAAAGTGACCACGCCCACCTGGCTTTCCTGTGGCAAATCACAATCTTCCACCAATGAGAGCGTGCCCGGCTTCCATATCATATAATTGAGGCAATTTAAGGGCAACATCGTTCCTAGGGTTCTCCCCTTCTTAGTTTGTTTAGTGTTAGCCTTTTGTGATTGTTGATCAGTCCTTAATCTAATCTCCATCAGAGGCCCCAGCTTATCTTATTGATCTGATGCATGACAAGAACACGGAGATCCGCAAAGTGTGTGACCAGACCCTAGACATCATCATGGTACAGTGCTAGTTTGTTTTTACATGTTGTCTAGTAAACTGTTACGTTATAAGAGGTAAATAGAGGAGACACTTGTGAGAAAGTTCTTCGCTAATCGTTTATAGACCCCTGGTTTGTAAAACATACCGTTAACAATAGCCCACCTTCAAGATATTAAAATTCTAACATGACTCCGAGGCAATGTCTTTTTGAGTCTTTCGTAAAACCTCAATTGTTGATCGCACCATCTGCAACACAAAGAAACTACACTTTCTTGCGCACACAGTGGCATTGTTCATCGGCTGTTATGAGAATTCACAGGAAACTAGGTCCAAAACACATCCACAGTCAGTGCAGTTCGAGACGTGAATATCGCCTTCTTTTGCCCACCAGTAAGAGAAATTCAGAGTGACGTTTACTGCAAACAGCAAATGTCAGATTCAAGTTGAGAATTTCTCAAAATAGAAAACGTGCAGCTAAAAGCAGTCCAAAACAATTGTTACAGACAAAACTAACGTGAAGCTACTAATTTGGGGGTAGAGGTAATGAACAGTAAAGCACAAGCTAAGGGAAAACTTGGTGACATGGTCCACGTTTGCATCCTGACGTAAACGTGAATCTAAATCTCTCTATTGTCGCGCGTGGCCGTTTTAAATTCGAGTTATTTCTGTTACAAGAAGAAGGAAGATCGCTAGTTTTCGGTGTTGAATCTCGGTGACTATCTAGGGTGACCCCCATATCTTTGATCTGTTTACGTTTTACAGGAGTATGATGAAGAATGGGCAAAGAAAATCCAGGCAGAAAAATTTCGCTGGCACAACTCGCAGTGGCTGGAAATGATAGAAAACCGTGTACCGATGGAAGATAATGACAGCCTAATGTACGGAGATGATGGCTTCATGGACGGAGATCCTCTGGACAGACCTGACCTCTTCTACGGTCATCCGGGATACGACGACCCAGTCACGCTCATGTCACGTGAAGGAGCCATGTCCCCGGATTACCTGATGGAAGATCCGGGTGAATACGGGATGTACAATGGCGAAGCGTACATGGATGCTGCGGGACATCCCGTCAGTCCATATGCCATGGCGCAATACCAGGGATACCCTGAAGAAGGCATGGGGTATTTAACGGAGGAGGCTGCCATGGGATCTTGGGGACATTTGATAGATGATGAGCCTGACCAGGGAGGTTATGGTCCTCCCCAAGGTCAAATTGCACGGCCGAGTAGCCGGTATGGTAGGCCTGTGTCACCTGGTTATACAGAGGCATACGGGGCTGAGTTGCTGGAGCCTGACACTGATATGTATGGGCGTCCTGTTTCGAGGATGAGATCGAGCTACGAAAATCACTATGGATACAGATAACATGCAAGCACTGCTTGAGAAATTGATTGTTAACCCTTCAAGTCCCAATAGTGGCCAACAGCAATTTTCTCCTAACAATGTCCATACATTTTCAAGAGATAAGGTTGTGAGAATAGAGAGTTTTAGATCCGAGTTTACCGCGAACCTCTAACCGCTGGAGGTCACGTGACAAGTCTTTCTCGTCACGTTTGAGGTTTACGACGTGCGTTTTCAACGTGGGGAGATAGATTTTCACGTATGTCATTTACCTGAAAGATTTTAGAGTATAAATCTTGTTTTATCCCACGTAATGATACAAAAATCTTGTGGAGCAAGTCTTTATCCATTAACAAAGGCACAAATACGGGCGAAATGCTAAATTTGATAAATCCTATTGGATCTTGAAAACAAGTGCCATTCATGGCTGCTGGTTCAAAATGGCGGCCGTAAAATTGCAAGAAGAACTAATGTAAGAATTTACAGCTCTTTGCTGCTAGATAACCCAGTGTTACCGTAAATTTCTTTTATTTTCACTGATTGATTTTTCTTCTATTTCTAAGTGGAAAAATAAACCAGAATCCACTTCTTTAATCCACCACCAATCTAAATCGAATTATGTTTGAACGTTGAACCGCAAACGGGTAACGGCAAACCGCGGTTAGAGGTTCGCGGTAAACTCGGATCTAAAACTCTCTAATATAAAAAATGATGACGAAAGAGAAAATGCCTTGATGTTTTATTAAATTCTCTCAACTAATTCTTAAAGGAAATGTATGGAGATCAGTTTGGAGAACTTGTATGTGGATACTGGGGCTTAAAGGGTTAATTCGTTGTATTTAAGTTGTACATTTCCTTTCTACCAAAATCATAAAATTACCAATCTCTGTATGTGTGTGTATATAGCTCTTCTCTACAAGCTTGAGATATTTCAGAGGTTTTGCGCGAAAAATTTAACAAAGCTTGGGAAAAATTCTCGTGCTATTTGCCGTTTAGGTCAACGTTGGATACGAGCGGATTAAGTCATCCAGTGACAAAACCTTTTCGGGAAATTGTATTAAAAATTGCGGTTTTTCGTTCTAGAAAACGTTTTGAACGAGCATTTTAAGCTCTCTTGATTTCAAAGATGATACCGTTACGTCTCCCTGGCTTTGTAAATAGGTCGTTATAAGATTGTGTGAACTGTGCAGGGCTAATATTAAAACACTAATAAAAAATACTGAAAGCTTGATATAAAGTAGACTGATGTTTCTCTGATAGATTCTCTCTTGGCATGAGCAAGCAACCTTTTCTCGGCCTTTCAGTGTATTAATTGATGCATAAAATATCAAAGTTTCTTTTATTCCGAGGCGCTCTTCCCAGCATCATCGACTATTATCTACTTCAATTCTCTGATTTGGCACTCTCTCCGCTCTGCACGGAGATACTCCTTCTTTCGTGTAGATTGAAATGTTTATCCTATCTATCTTTTTTTTATCTAGGACTTAATGCTATACCACGATATATGTCTTTTCTCGTAAATATGTGAGAGTGTTCCCCGGCCAAAATTGATAACTTACAACCCCTTCTACAAAGACAACCCCCTGTCCTTTTTGCCTACTTGCTACAAATGCAAGTCTTGAGATTTTTCTTATATTTTGCGTCACATGTTTTTGGCCGTTCTGCTTTTCTCAACGAAGAAATCAGATAATAAATTTACTTCTTTTTTCACAACTTTTTACTGGACATTTATTACTTGTTTGGTGAGACGCCTGTAAAATAATGATTTTTTGGCTACAAAGCTAGTTTTAAAGAGTGCTATATTTTCCGACAAACAGTGTAACGCGAAATTTTACACCGCTGTTCGCAAGTAAGGGAGTTCTTCGGGAATTTTTACTCCTTGGCTTTTTGTAAAAGAGTAGTTTATTATTTGTCACAAGATCTGAGCGAAATTCATAGAATATTTAAGCATGGATAATGATTTACGTGAATGAACTTAATTTTATTCCATCTTTAACACCGTTTGATGTTGCGTCACCCAATTTTTCCCGTTATTGGACGTTGTTGACAAGGCAAAGCGAACTTTTAATATTAAAAACGTGATATACTTTAATTTTTCATGCCGGCTAATTTAGCGCAATTTCTCTTCTCGAGTAAACGTAATTCTATTTTAAAACGAATTCTAACTTTTTGGCTATAGAAGCATCTTGTAAAAGGATTTTCATTAAAGCCAGTTGCACAATTGTGGAGATCTTTGGTAATAACTTATAAAGAATTAAAAGGAACATTTTCAGGAACTTTTACTGTTTGCTTTATGAAATGCCTATTAAGAACATTTTCATCGGAGCAAAGCCTCGCAATTGTAAAAAGGTGATAAATTTTGTGTCACAAAATTTTGCTAAAATTGAACATTGTTTTGAGCGAAACATTTTCTTCACTTCACAAGTTTCGCGCGAAATTTTACTCTTCGCTATGTGAGCTAGCCGATTGCTTCGAGTCGTTTTCTCCTCTCAACGACTCGAAGTAATCGGATGAAATTCAGCCTATATGTGAGCAATTTGTAAGATAATTTTCTTGGGATTTGGGCGTCGCGATTTTGAAATGGTCGCATACTTTTAATTTTCACTGCACAACTTGCGAGAAAATGAACATTGTGTTGGGCATAAGGATTTCCGCCCTAGTCGTTTCACACTTTTGGAAACGTCGTGCTATTTGGCTCACCAATTTTTTGCGTTAAAATGCTCATTGTTTTGGTCCCAGCATTTCTTTTAAAGTGAACTGCGTTATATCACGGCAAATGGAAAAAAATAGCGCAACAAAGATATCGCCCGTAACGTGTAAATTTCTCGTCGCAATAATTTCAGTTGGTAATAACCGACGGTAATCCTGTGATAAGTTATCCGAATCTTGGAGAAAGAGGTCGAGTCAACAAAACATCTGGGAAACTGAAGATTGTCTTCGAAAATGCGATTTTAGCGCTGAATAACTGCATAAAGTCAGACATGGTTGTTTCAAGGCATCAGGCTTTAATCAATAAAGTAGTAATTACAGAATTTAAAAATAAAACTCTGAAATGAAAAAAACTTAAAAACTCTGAACAAAACTGATCAGCTTAAAAACATCATCAAAAGCGTTAAGTTATTTCTTACAGTTTAATAATCCTTGGAAAAATATTCCATTAAAGATCCCTTGTATAAAAAAAACTTAAAATTCCCCTCGAATTGAAAAAATAAAACTGATGCACTTTTAAAGACATGCGATCAAATTTATAAAGTGACTGAGCCTTTTTAAAAGAAATTTGGTGTGCCATCCGATTACTTGAAGCCCAGTTTATCATCCAAAGCCTGTTTGAGATCAGCATCCTGGAAAAAAAAGAATAAGAATCGAATGAACTGTTTAGCTGTGGTGCTATAAATGTCACTGATTACTTAGGAAACAATACACTTTTTAACAAAATGCAAGCGCCTGGATCCTAGGTAAAGAACTAGTGTTATTTCTGTTATTTACCATCTAGAAAATAGGATCGCCCACAAGCCAAGCTGCGAAGGATACGTAAAAAGCGAAAAAAGAGCGTAGCGCAAAAAGATGCCCGCGAGCAGAGCGTGGGTAAGGAGAGAAAGACCCTGAATTTCTTTGAAAATATTTAAGAACGTTTGAAGAGATTTAATAGGCCTGAAATGCTAGAAAAGCTTGCACTAACTGAGAATCCTCTCGTCAAGAAAACGAATTTGTGCGCATAAAATGCGATAACTGCGAAAATTCGCGCCATTTCTCACCTCCTCCATGGCGCTTCCTTCTGATGATTCGGTTGGCTTTACTGTTGGTTCCACTTCAGGATCCGCCTGTCAAAATACAGTCCATCACAAAATGATAATCAGCAAAAAAATTCTCCTCACAGCCCAGTGCCATAACAAAGAAATTCTTAGAATTCGCATTTTCATAGTAGACTGATTATAAAAGTCGATCATCGATCATGGGGAGATGTTCCCCAAGCGCGGTATCACGTGAACACAGCACTAATGACGTGGCAACAAGTTACCACATGTTTCGAATAAGGAGCACTTTCCGCAGATTTGAGGAAATTATAGAAACATTACGTTTTCCCTCCTTGACATTCTACATGAATTTTCGTCTTTTTCTTTGAGTGTTCGTGCACAACGTTCAAATGGGCTTTTTTAAATCAGCTTTTTTTTAGATAGACAGAAAACTCATGACTAGTCGCTGCCCGGCAAAACTGCCGCAATAATGTAGATCAGTAACTAAAACATCAGCCGAGAGAGATTCTTTTTAACGCTCCTACTCCGACTAAGGTTTAATGCCAAAATAAAAAAAAAGAAAAGAAAAGAAATACTTATCTCAACTACCAACTGAGTATTTTAAAGTCTGTACTTACGTCTGGTTTAACAGGTCGCATGTCAAGCATTTTTTCCTTTAGTTTATCTTTGACTGGATCCTCGAGGTAGTCTACATCATCATCCTGTTCATCATCCCGGTCATCATCCTAGGATAAAAATGGCATTAAGAAGCTGTACGTCTCAAGAAGCAAGACACTTAAAATATTAGCTACAAACAGTATAATTTCTACCTTAAAACCTTCGGGGTCTTCTGGTTCGTCGCTTTCTTCGTCCTGTTGAAAAATGAAAGAAGTGCTTGATCAGATTAAACATAAAGTCACTGAGATGAAATCGTGCTTTAGGGTTTTAATTCAAGCCAGTTTTTTAAATAGAGGATTGAAATAATAAGAGTTGGATAAAAACATTGTCCAATTGAGCTTTTTACCATTGTACAACTTGAATTTTTGCCGTATAGTTCTTAAGATCCAATTAAAACAGTAAATGGATTGTTCACTGATGTTTTTGCTTTTTATTAAGCACAGGAAACCTATGTTGCCTGACTGATTAATTTCTTTACGGCCCTTTAAAAACTGAAGAAATAGGCGTAAAGAGTTTGAAACATTACAAACCTGCTGAGAATCGTCGTCATCATCCTCAAGATCATCCGTGAACTGTATTGGAGGGAAATAAAAATGAATTCTGGGCATAACTTTAGTTCAGTGTTATAGGACAACATGTGTGACTGAAAGATAAATTAAAGCGAATAGCAGTAGCAGTTTTCCAATCTCTATTTTAACATTCTCAAAGTGTTATCAAAGGTAATAATTAGGAGAAAATAGAACATTTTTTAGTTTTGGAAATCATCATAAACCAAGAGCCATAATGGCTCTTGCATAAACCTCGCCAGGGGCCTATTACCACATTTAACTCAACTCTTTGATTGCATGTCTATACTCTTTTAGAAAAATTTGTTAAATAAAGGATATGTTACAGAGACAACTAACTCAATTTCAAGATTTTACAAATCTAAGTTATAAATCTTTTAAAAGGCTCTTAAAACTTCAGATAACAATATCCATGATTTTAACTTCAGCTTTGCATTTTTGCGTGGTTCTAAATCATTCATACGAAACACCGGGAGCAGTATTTTCCTCCAAACTGTTCAGTTTATAATCAGCTCTAGGAAAAATTGGAGCAATTTGACTTTTACATTTTGACTTATTAAAAACAAGTTCAATAACTGACTTCGACTTACGTTTGGGTCTTCTTCGTCTTCCACATAGTCCTCAACTTGCGGTAACGTATCGCCATCTGCGGCGTCTAGATCAACAAAATCGGATTTTTGATCCTTATCCCCAAGGGCGAAGCACATTAAATTAAGGACCAACAAGGCAAGAACGAATACTTTCATCTTGGAACTCTCGCTCGGTAAATTTTTCAATAGTTCTAAATTTTAACCCCAGAGGATTCGTTCAGCGTGGCACCCAAAATGAGAATGGGTCTTTCGATGACTAAGCACAACTTTTGCCCCATGATCAAAGGCTGCAAATCTCAGAATAAAGCTACGCGAATATTCGTGTTCGCATCGATCTATTATTCCACATACTATTATTTTACCACGATCCTTTGTTCACTTTGACAAAAGTTTGTTTACACGTTATTCAACTTCCTCTTCCGGTTGACGCTCCGCTGACCAACAAGGTTGAAGTGTCAGAACCTTTGCAAACGTGGAAGAGATCAGTTCCACCAATCTTTCACATCTTTTAATTACCCATTTTATTCAATATTTCCCTGGTTTTCTGCTTTTAAAATGGTGAGTTCAGTGTTTGGCGTGCATAAGTGTTATTTTGGGCTTTTTTCTTTGCAACCCTTAAGATTTTCGCTCACTTTTGAGACCTTAGTTTGACGATAAATTGCATGCTACAAACTCACCTCAAACTCGATCAGTCACAGACTGTTTTGAAACTGTTTTTGTTTAAAATTTTAACCTGTTTGATGCAGGCTACAGGAACGGATCGAGCTGCTGGATATGGAATGATGTTAGTTAGTGCTTTAATATTCGTGTATTACACGATATGGGTCATCTTTCTGGTAAGTTGTTACCGGCTTTGTAAATTTATAAGGTTATCAGATAGACTTTGACTCTTGTCAAGCTTAATATTTCGATTCCATTCGTTTCGCTTACTGAGCTATTTTGGTGTCATCGAGACATTTCAAGAACAGAAAGTTTTTTTATAACCTGAGGGAAACAACTATGAAGCATTTCATAACAGCTGAAAATCTTGCTAGATTTTTGCTTTGACCTCTCTGTTACCATGGAAGGGAGGGAAGGGAGCACTGATTTCAAGGAAGGTAAAAGATAATGGTAGGGATTTCAAAACGACTGACAGTGGAATTCTGCCTTATGGAATCCTGTCAAAGGCAATAACCCTCTTTTAACAGACAGTTTTTCCCTAAAAAAGCTTATCATACATTCTCTAGCCTCTTACGTATTATATACTTCACTTCCAGAATATTGGAAATGAAAAGGAAGTAGTATTCTTTTTACCCTCTAAAAATAAGTGCCATTTCATTGTCTTTCTTTCAGCCATTTGTAGAGAAGGGCCATCCAATCCAGAGATTATTTCTTCCAAGAATGTATGCTGTTATAATTCCTGTTGTTGCAGGCCTTGTGCTCTTAGGAGTAATAGGTAATTCAAACCTTAATTTGAACCTTAGTCACTCTGAATAAACTTGCTTGCAGAGTCTTCTTCAATCTTCTCAAGGGCTCTGTGAGCAGATTAGTGTGAATGGGTATACAGGGATGTCACTAAGATTCAGGTATTATTATTAGGTGAGTAATTGAATAGCTACGGAGTTGTAGTGGTTCTATTTTCCTTTGGCGGGGGTCATGCTGGGTAAGACTAATCTGCAGAACTGCAGACCGCCAAACCTGTGGAACCGGCGGAACCTACAGAACCTAAAGAAATGACTGTATTATTACAACTGCCTTTGGCTGACTTGATAAAATAATTAGTTGCCATTAATTTTTTTACAATGACCAAGCAATTTCTCACCTGCTGATTGGTCGAGAGCTATTGTTGATAACAATACAGACCATTGAAAACTGTTGTCGATTTCGGTTTAGTGTCACTGATTAAGAGCTTTGGTTCCGAAACAAATCTTTCTCCTTTCTCTATGTCAAGGTGTCCCTCAATGATGGTAGTGATCTTTGATATTTGAAATTGTTCTTCATACTAAACCTACAGCCGTCAACATCAGTACCTTTTACGCTCATCATGTCACCTGTTACACACTAAACAAGCTTTTCCATTCAGCCTTGCCCTGAGAATACGGCGTACATGTCCCTCCAAGGCAACGTACAATCTCGGCCTCCTCAACCAGGAGATACAACATGTTCATACTATCACACACACTCACACAAGCAACTCACCCACACATTTCCCACTAGTTGTTGGATACGCCCCAGCCATTCACTCAATATCATCTATTTTTCACAAGCACATTTACATTCTCTCATCTTCCCTACGTTGTGCTACTTTGTTTAAATATAGACCTCTCGTTACTTTCCTATGTACTAACAAGCTGAAAATTTGCTAAGTGGACTTCTCGTTTGGAACCAGAGCTTTCAATTAATGTCATTGTGTTATACACTGTTCAAAGTCCTCTATTTTCCTGCAAGATCACTGTGAACGAGCATTACAGGTGGCCATCTTGACTGGGTCTAGCTTGAACTATACTTAAACGGTGGTGGACGGTTTGGGAACCCCAAGGCCTGCTCTCTCAGTACATTTGAATCCAATTACAAAGTGACTGCAAGTGAAGGTAAGCGTTCAATCTCGACGATCTTATGAAAAAAAAGGGGGACTGTGAACAGTCTATCAATGTTATAATTGATTGTAACTAATTACTTTATCACGTTAACTAAAGGCAGTTGTAATAAAACAGTCATTTCTTTAGGTTCTGTAGGTTCCGCAGGTTCCTCAGATTAAACTTACCCGGTCGTGCTTATAGTAGCCAGTGAAAATCCCTGGTCCCTGCTGGACCTTAGTGACATTCCTGGGTATAATGTGTCCAAGCACTAAAATGGAGAAAGTAGAGCAAGATTAATGTGAGCCATAAGTGCAGAGCATGAGAGGAGCACAAGTGAAACTTGGCCGGCAGTGTGGCTGTTGGTCAGCACATCGGACTCACAATCCAGCAGCCCTAGGTTTGAGTCCTGTTCTGGCCACTTGCTGGATTTGTTCTTGGCTGTCCCAATTTCAAAACCAATGGCCACACAAAAAAGTTTGTAGCGTGCGAAAACACCTGTTTCTCTTCGCCGCTAGGGATGTTTCGCGTGGAGGAACATCTGCGACTCAGCGACAGAAATTCCATACTGATGACACAAATCAATGTTTACATAATAAATCCGGTAGTCATGGGGTTCCAAATATAAATTTGTCCAATTTTATGTGTCTTCTGGTCGATTTTGGTGAAGAGTTGTGTTCATGTGCCAACAAGCACCAGCAAAACTCAAATGCTTTATCCTTAGAGAGAAGACTATAATTATTCCACAAACATTGACTGTTTTGTTAGAGATTCTTCGTGTTTACATTTGACCTTTGTGGCCTTTTTTTTTTGTCTGTCATTCGTGAACAATGGCTAAAACAATATAACTACTCTTCTGACTGGATTCCAGACAGATTTTACATCATCAGTATGGAATTTCTGTCGCTGATTTGCAGACGTTCCTCCACGTGAAACGTCCCAGCGGCAAAGAGCGAGGAGAAACTGATGTTTTCGCATGCTAAAAAATTTGTACATAGTCAGCTGGGGTCTATTAAGATATTTATTTTGTTTCTAATAATTACTTGAGTGGAGTCAAGAGTGCCTGTAAACTAACTGAATAAGCTAAGTGCACTTTCCACTAATAAACAGACCTTTAACCCTTTTAACCTTATCCTATGTTTTTGCTTATTAATGGCATGAACATGAAAAAATAATCCAGGATATTTGTAAAACAAAAAGGGCAAATAAGTAGTTAAGCTAAGGTTAATTAACAACCATAAATGTCTATATGAACTAGTGATTGCATCATCTTGAAAAGCACATTATATATATGTTATAGGTACATGTGTAAAGTGTATTCTCAGGTTAAACCCCTGGGGTGGGGGGAGAGTGCTCAACAAATGTTTCTACAGGGAGGCTTTGCCCCTAGGTCCAGCTCCTTACCCTTTTATACACCTTTTTTCACGAAAAAGGTACCCCTTTTTTACACTTTATTTAGAACTTTGCATCCAAGCTTAAATTTCATTGACATTACACTCTCATTGTTTCTTCCATGGAGACACTTAGGAAACTATGAATCTCCTCCATCTTGTGCACTTCCTCGTAACACACGGGCAGCATACTTTAATTGAGGATAGTATAAAGACCTGCTGAATATATATAATGGAAAGCACATTTCTTACTTGATTCACTTAATTTGGTCTGTGACCCTTGGTGGGCAGACCAGTGGGTGAAAGAAAAAGCAGGGTTTTTAATAAAGTTTTAAGTAGGTGGCTAAAGCTTTGGAGTTGGTGGAGTAGGAAAAAACTTGCGGCAAAGGCGTGAGTTTCTGGAAAAATGTTGAAATCTGGGCCTCTAAGAAGGCATTTTCAGCATTCTGGAGCAAAAATTAGAGTGCTGAACAGGACACAGACATCATTAAATTTTGGCTTTTTTATTCAGTGACAGCACATGAATACTCTATTTAAACTGGGGTAATTTCCAAAGAAAAGTAAGCGGTGAGTTCATGTAAAATAGCTGGCGAATTTGTTGGCCACCAGCTCTTATTGAAAACCCTGAAAAGGACCTTGGACAGTTTGCAGGCATTAGTCTCTTCCCCTTATCTTGCATTGTTTTCTTGTCTCTCGTGCTTAACATTTGACTATACCTAAATAATATTGCGCTTTTGTCTAATTCACCATTCGTACAAACGAGCCAATACCTGTAAATGACCTCTTTTAACTATTTTCTATGCCTTTTTTTCAGGAATATTTGTTGCTGTTGTAATGCTTAAGAGCAAGAAGCCAAAAGCTAAGAAAGAGAGCTGAGAATATCTTGACTTTAAATACAGACTGACATTACTGGGCGCCAAAAATATTGAAAATGTGCCTTGAGGGTAACATTCCTTTACATCATACAGTGAAGTGGAAAAAATCAAAGAAATACGTTTTCTTGAGTGACTAAGGAATAGTTGCAATTTAACAGTTTGGAGGTGGATTTATTGTTTCTTCTTCAAAACTAAACTATACATATCAGCTGTCTTCCCAAGTAAATGATGTTTTTGGTGATGTGGCTCAGTTTTACCCCTTCTACATTACAGATAGATAATTTTTTCAATGAGGGTTTCACATGATATCTACAGATAATATACACATGGCCCTCAACAAAAAATATTTACAAAGATTATGGTCATAAAAAGTACTTTTTTAACAAAAAATGTAGTGGGTATTTCAAGAACTGGTCCTACTAAAAAGTGATCCATAGGGTTGTAAGAATGTTTTCAAGTACTGTATTTTCTCAATTGAACGCCCCTGGCGTTTATTAAAAAATCAGCCGCAGTTTTAACCCTGCATTTTTTTGAGGCTGGCGTTTAATCAAGGAAATATGGAAGGTGATTTTGCGATCTTTTATATTAAAGAACCGCGGGATAGACCTGCAAAGTACCTGCTGGCCAAAACATGAAATAGGTGGTGATTTTTCTCACTACCAGCTTTTTTTACAACCCTGGATCCGTAGAGAAACTTAACTCAAATTCAAACATTTTCTGTTCAGATTTTTACTTCCTTTATTTTAAACCTGTGTAGAATAGATTGTACTATATATTGTTGAATGTAAAAAAAGAAATACAGTAAAGGTAGAGCATTGATATAACAACCTCTAGATATAACTAATTCCTTGAATCATGATTATACAGTGTGGGGAGATGCCACATGGTATTTTTATGGACACTCCTTTTTGGCTCATTTTAAGGAATAAAATCTGGCATAATTACAGTTTAAATTTTAGTGACAATGATAATATTCATCACAAACTCTTTCCAAAACAATTCAGTAGAAATTATTAAAAAGAGAAGTCTTAAGATCAATAAATTTAGGACCAATGGTTAAGGACAGGGCTCAAGCTCCAAAAACCTTTCTCAGGGAAAAGGAGATTTCCCTTTTGAGCAAGTAACTTTTCATGCTCAATTGCCCAATTGGCAAAAGGCACAGCCAAGTCACGTTCTAACTTAAAATTAGGAACTATACAACTGGTAATTAATGCTGCTAATTACAGCTTTAAAAGATGCTAGATTTTGGGAGAAATGTCTCTGTACAAAGTGTGGGACATAACTACATGGAAAATAAAGGCTGGGAGTGAAAAGGAAATATGCACTGTAATTTGTATCATCTTAAATCAAACACAATGTACGTACCTCCAGGGAAGGGGTATTTGACATCAGTCTTTCCTCCGTGGGTAAAGAATTTGACAATAAAATGGCCCAAATTTAATGTGAAATCCCCCTGTTTCCCCCTACCCTGGGGCTTAATATTGACTGCTGCATTATTGCTACTAATTTTCCCTTACTTAGCCTCACATTTTAGTCACTTTCTATCCCACAATCACAGGTTTCGCACATTCCTGAAAAGTCCTTGAATTTTCGGGAGACTCCTTGAAAAGTCCTTGAATTCAGTTTTTCCTTGAAAAGTCCTTCAATTTCTTCAACTTTGAACGTGGTGGCCCAGAAAGTGTTTTAGTGCTTTTTGGTTTGTCATGACAGAATATAAGTAATTGCTCAGAGACGTTCAAAGTGATTTACGTAAGAATTAACTATTACTTTAAGACAAGTGAACTGAAAAATGTAGAGAAGTTGGTGAAGGAAACAGTTCAAGCCTTATAGTCCTGTTAGAATGCACTGAGAATGAGCATTTTTTTACAATTATGTGCGAAATTATATTCCTGGTAGGTGGTCCTTGAAAATCGAATGTGGTCCTTGAAAGTCCTAGAAAAGTCCTTGCAAAATGGTTGCAATTTTTTTGTGAACCCTGAATCATATTAATCTTACTCATATCTGTATATTAATTATATTGGGGTAATAAATTGACCAAGCTTGTGTGTGGGCCTTCAAAATATCAAGAAAGGTATTTTCATGTTTTTATAAGCTTGTTTCTCGTTCGTTTACAGGGGCGGATCTAGTGGGAGGATGCAGGGGGTGTGCACCCCCCCCCCCCCCCCCCCCAAGGAGCCGAGGGTTTTTTACCAACCAGAACTTTTCCCAAAAAAAAAAAAAAAAAATTTTTTTTGTTTTTTTAAAAATAAAAAAAGACAAAGCCCCCCCCCCTCAAAAAAATATTTACTGCTCCCCTTTTTTTTTTTTTTTTTTTTTTTTTTTTTTTCATTATCTATCTACTACTTATTTTTTTTTTTAAAAGAGATATCTCATCAAGGTTTTCTAATACAACTGGTATTCTGCGAAAAAAAAAAAAAACTTGGTTTACTGGTGTTGAAATATAGCAAGAGACGAGTGCACCCCCTCCTAAAAAAAATCCTGGATCCGCCCCTGGTTTATTACCTTTTTGATTTTTCTTCTGGCAACTTAGAATTCATACTAGTTTTTATATTCAGAGGAGGTGTCTGATATGAAGTCACTGCTTGTTCTTTATTTTTCGTATTCAAAATTGATCTCCACAGTCTCCAAACAAGAAAAAGAAGACCCGTCCCAAGGGCTGTAGTTGGCATGTTTTCGAAAATCCACCTCGAAAAATGTGTAATTCTCTGATTCCGCTCTCCAGGACTTTCCAAAATCCCACTCATTCCATTTTTCCCACTTTGCTCAACATTGAGAATACTACGTCATGTAATAGCGCTTGTAATGTCCCAGCTATGGCAATGCTTTCAAGCCGCCATATTTGTTTGGTGGTAGTGGTAGTTGTATGTTGTTTAATACAGACATCATTGCGGGCAATGGCCTCAGAAAGTAGTGTGCATTCAGCGACAGTAAACGAGGTTCATCTAGTACCCATAGATATCATAATTCGACCCATTCCTCCGGTTCTAGAGGAAGCAAAAGTCAACTCACTCATTAAAACAATTCAGGTGGGTTCTAATGTCGAGCGTTTATACGGAATAATGATAACCATACATGCTTCCTAGAATGAAACCCAAAATAAGGTAAGTAGTTTGACACATTTTAATTTTGATATTCAGTCTACCCACAAAAGGTTCCCAACTAAGACGAATTAGGGCTCCGATCCTGGATGCTATGATAATGCAGAAAAATATGGTAATAAAAAAATACACTCATCAAGAACTATGTAGAACGCATTGAAAGCTTCACAGTATTTGCGGCAAAATTATTATTTAAAAGAATAACTTAGAGCAAATGTATAAAAAATGGGGCAAATCCTTCTGTAGTGAATTTTCTCTCCAAATTAAGCCCTTTGCAGACAGCCATTCACCGCTGTGCTGGAGAGCAAAAGTCGCACTGGGACAAGACAAACAAAAGGCTAACATAATTTTAAATGGTATTTTCCTTTGTTTGTCTCGTCCCAGTGCGACTTGTACTCTCGGTCGAGTATTGTACCATGTGAATGGCTAACTGCAAAGGGGGCTATTTGAAGGCCTGAACAGTGCATGTATATGTTAATATCTGTTCAGTAATACCCTGGCCAGAGACCCCCTACACAGACTGTCCAACCTTTTGAGTAGGTAAAATTGGGATATTTTTTGATAATCGAGGAATCACATGAAGGGGTGAGCCACTAGGGGGCTCTAGGATCATTCTCCCCAAGAAATAAATGTGAAATCGTGATCCTCCAAGACGCCATTTCTATCCAAAAATAATGTTCACTAAATTGATTGCGGCTTTTTGTTCAAGTATTCAAAGTTTTCTGGTGTATCAGTTTTCATTAAGTATACTCTAATATGTGTTCTTGTATAAGTATCACAAGAATTCATTTGGAAATAATTATCAGAACAGATTTCAAAATCGGGATTTTTTTATCCCGATTGCAGATTGGTTGGGATTCGGGATTTTCAAGCAAAATCGGGAGAATCCTGACAAAATCGGGATGGTTGGACAGTCTGCCTACACTTCCTATTGGTAATCCTGAATACATGTACTCAGTAGCTTCCATCTCATTCCATCATGTTTCAGGATAAGAGTTTAAGACATACAGTACCACCAATTGATGTCTTATGGATTAAAGGACGAGAGGGAGGTGATTATTATTACTCATTTGGTGGCTGCCACAGGTATGAAGCTTACAGAAAGCTCAACATGAAAACTATTCCTTGCAAGATCATTCAAGCCACCATTGAACATCTTAGAGTCTATTTAGGATCTTCTCTGCCAGACTTAAAATGAGCACTAACCCCTAGTATTACTGTATATTATTTTGTAGTCTGTAATACTTCAATATATATTTTTAGTATGGTATTCCAAAGCCAGTGTAACATTGTAAGGAGAGCACAATGAAAATAATCTTGTATAGTTGTAATTTAGCCCTTGTTGATACTTTTGTCTCAAGCATTAAAGCTTTTCTCAGCAAGTTGTCTTTGGTGATGTAGATGGGCAAATATGGCATGCTTCTCACAAAAAAGACTTGCTAGTGTAGGGAAGTAAAGGTCTGAAACCATTCTACTGGTGTATCAACTTTTGACATGTTTTACTCAGGGTATATTTTGGGTTCAAATTCCTTCTTTTTGGGACACTGTGCTCCATTTTTCACTGCTAAAATATTCTGACACACAGTTAATAAAACGAAAAAAAAAAAAACTTTAAAAAGGATGGTTTATTTTGCAACCAATCGTTCTCAGCAAGTTTCACTTTTGTAACAACTCAATTACAGCTGTCTATCATACGTGTGTCTCGACATGCTATGTTAAATTTAAGTACAATAAGCAAAAGAAAAGAGCCTAAATTATAGTAAAAATATTTACTGTTATTTTTAAGCAAAATTTAAACAAAAAGTAAATGTGATGTTTATTTATCAAATAACATCTTTTGTACAATTTAATGTAACTGATAACTTTGCTTGGAATATTAACCAATTTGTAAATTCAACTTAAAATAAATTATTATAATATAAATAACTTGTCAAAGTTAAGACAGAGCTTGTTAAATAATTTACTGCAGTTCGAATCCCGACATAAAACCTGCTGTAAATGTTTAATTCCTTTTTGAGCAGGAGTTTTTTAGTTTGCTTGTCTATTTGTTTCCAATAGAGCCAACTTCTATGTATTTCAAATGTAAGGGACATGTGCTCAGTTATTGACGTATACCTCAGTCCATTTTTTTTTCAAGTAAGAGCAAACTAGTACTTTAAACATCTTCAATTTTAGATCCTGTAAGAAGGTTTATTGTCGGAGTCTAACTTTTGAGTCTGTTGACTAAATCTTGCATGTTGTATGTTGTTTCCATTCAAATAATTTCTGTTTTGCAGAACATTTCCATAGTGCCATTTATTTCTTAGGACTTTGTAACCAGTAATTTTGAATTTTAACTTTGGCCATTAAATATCGAAACTCCTTTTTTTGGTAGATTAGATTCATTCAGACAAAGATAATTATGCAAAGCAGTAGAAGTGACATTGCCTAATTTTTCATGTCAAACGGACAATTATTGTAGTTATAACAAAAACGCTTGATTAATTCCAGGAAAATCCCTGCCTGCTGCTTGCCATTGTGACAAAATATTCTTCTCACTGTTTGTCTTTACTTTTTGTATTGTTTGATATCCTTACTCATTTTGTCCTAACTGAAGAACCACAAGTTTACATTCTAAGAATTCTAAGGTTTTTTTTGTTCCACTTTTAGCTCAATACAGTTTTAAAAATAATGTTGATTAAAACTCAGTGATGAGGGACAACTAGTCTTATTGTCAGAAACAGAAATCTGTTACAAATGCTTATCCTGTTAAAACTGATTTTGTTCATCAGTGACAAAGTGATAGTTAAATCCTGCGAGCAAATGGCAGGGGTTTTTTGTCATTTTTTTGTCAAGTTTTTATTTACATACTCTTTACAGTCTGTTGATATGTATAAATAATATTATAAATGTTATATGATACATCTTAAGTAAAAATGAGTGCAGGTTTTACTCATGACCATACACAACCATGAAATAGTTGTCATTAGTACTAATAAATTATCAAATGCTATGTTAAACTTAAATGGTCTTTTGATGTTTTTTGTTTTCTATTTTCTGATGGGCCACTACTTGTCAACACAATATGATAGCCTTTTAAATGTCTCACAGAGCAACAAAATGGTAAATTTTAATATTATATAAGCATTATCGGATTTTTAAAATTGTTATGTCCTTAATGATTTTTTTGGACTGGATAGTTGCTCTCAAATGTCGTAATTCCTTAAAACTCTGTTGTTGTTGTCTAATTTTGCTCAATAACTGAGTAACTGTTACCCAAGGCACATCAGTCAGAGTCACCTTAATTCACATGGATGAACCTTTATACATAGTAGGACTTGTTTCCTGCATATGTGCATCATCTTGTCTGTTACTAATCATACTTCCACTGCTCTCCCAAAGTGGGGGAGTCATGGATGATGAATCAGCTGGTGATGGGGTTCCTGAATCACTTGAATCTTGCTTAGAACCTCCTTGACTCAAATCACTTGGGCTTAAAGAATGAAAGATGTTCCCAATGGCGGGTAATTTCAGGAAACTCCACTGCTGTGGCATGTCGCTGCTATGCCCAGCTGCCCCTTGTAGAACTGTCTGATGGTTCCCATGGTACACATGCTTGGGGTGAAATGGATGCGGTCCATTACAGTCCTGATGCAGATTGATCATGGCATGATTGTGTGGCGGGAGATGCTGCATAATGTTTGCACTCCTGGTACTACCTCCTACAGCGCAGGGATCAAAAGCTGATGGAGGAGAGACTGTTGGCCTAAAACTCGCTAGTTCTGATGGGTGTTGGTGATGCTGCTGAATGGGAATTGGCATGTGTTCATAGCCAGCTCTGATGTGTAGGTGTGGCACATACATGGGACCTGTACTTGTAACAATCGTTGGAGCTTTGCCTTGAAATGGTGCTGATCTCAAGATAAATGGCTGTAGGGAATGAGGTAGTCTTGGTGCTCCTTCATGAACACTTGAAGCAGGTGTGAGTCTGCAGTTACAACAGTGAAGAACATTAATTTTCTTCTAACAATACCAATACATCATCCAGAGAAAACGTTACGAGTATTAATGAAATGATCACCAAGGGAAAATGCTTTGATCTTTTTTCAAATTCTTTCAACAAATTCTTTAGAGCTCTGTATGGAGATCAGTGTGGAGAATTTGTGTGTGGATGTTGGAGCATAAAGGGTTTTTTGTAGAATAATAAATAATGCACTAAACAAAGATTCTTTTTATTTGAATGAGATATTGCGAAAACAGCAATAACTGGTTTAGAATATTAATCAAGAGCTGTTCTTCTTGCTGTACCTTGGCCTGCCCTGTTTTGTAGCAACTCCTACATCTCTGTTTGCCCGCTTCCTGGGAAGAACTGTTGTTGTATCAATGATATTCTCTGAAATCTGAAGACAAAAACACATAGCATGTTTGTAACATCAATATTTGAAAAAAAATACTCCAGAGAAACCTTAGCCTGTGCGAGGCTGTCGGTCAGTCCGGACAAGCAAAGATGCAAGAGAGCAGTGAAATAGCAAAAGAGCGAAAAACTGCGGGAAGCAAGAAGGGGAGAGCCCGTAAGCATCTTTTAGAATACCTCAAACTACCCACTTCCACACCCACTTCCTGAAGAAATGTTTCTTGTGTCAAAATGTCTCCCCAACCCCCATGTGGTTATCACACAACTTTTCTTGATCTGCTTTCCCCACCACTTAGGCTCTTGGAACAGGCTAGAGAAACCTCAGAGCCCTGTGCATGTATGTATGTATGTTTTTTTTTTTTACAAGTGTGTGTGTGGGCATGCAGATTATTTACTGAGCTCTTAACATATATTGTAAGGTTAATTTAGATTGTACCTGTTACAGTATGTTAGGTTATGCCATGTACATGTTCAATGAAGGGCTCTACTTCTATCACATCGCAAAGAGGAAAATCCTTGGAAGCACTTGAAAAATAAAGCATACCTCTTGAAGCACAGAAGGTGGCATCCTCTCTTTCACCATCTGTACATACTTAACTGTCAGTTCAAGTACCTGGTACAGTGATGCATATTGAAAACAAATGAACATAGTTAGAGGTCAAAAATAATTATTGGATCTTGGACAGTAACATTTTTCTGCTACTCACTAGCTGGTACTACAATTAATTATTATAGTCAACGCATCCTTAATTTATCATCCATGGGAGGCCGAAAAATTGTAATTTAGTCTTGAGCTGGCTGCTCATGTCAATGGCTTTTGTCAGTGGAAAGTTCAAATAGAATGTTGTCAAAACAGCTGTTTGAGAGCTCCAAATGTTATAGCCTGTGCCATACAACTGTAGACGAAACTAAACTCTGGTAAAGTCCGTCTGCAAAACAGCACCGAAATCCTTGTTTCGGCCCCCATCTGTGTTCTAGGATTTGAGTCCGCGCCATGATTGGCCCGTTAAAAAAGCCATTGTCGATTTACCAGTCAAGATGGATGGAAATTCAAAATGCACTTCCTGTAATTTGTTGAGGCTGTTGGGGGACCAGGAAAAGTATCTTAGTCCTGCGTCACAGATGTTTCTCACTGAGGTTAAATTACATCTGCAATACAGGCTACAAAATTAATGTTTTTTACTGTTTATAGATGTCAGAGTTAATGATAGTGAATCACAGTAATACCGGTAATAAGAATTAAGTTAGTGTTTAAATGATCTATTATTTACTACCTCAATAGCCATTGGATCAGTGGGCATAACGTCCTATTTAATATTATTAATACGGGACATAATCATGACTTCTTGAATCATGTGTATGGACTGATGAAAGAGGAAACAGTGAGCTACATGGAATTGGTATGCATTTTAGCTTGCAAGGCACACAATAAATACAATCTTCAAGAAGAATTAAAATTATAGTTTTATTAGTATTTCACTTCACTTACGGATGCCATGTCCGATTTTTTCCCAGCTACACTTGGTAACAAAAACCGCAACTGATCACAGCTGTCCTTGATGCGTTCTCTGGAAAAGAGCAACTTTTCTTTTACTAAATGGGTTTACTGAATGACCGTGGTATTGAAGGAAGTGAATTTAACAGTTTATTAAAACCAAGGAGCCCAGAGGCAGACTTTTCTGCTAAACATCCCTACCTCTATGCAATAAATAGTGTGAGCAAAACACGAGCCAACTAAACATGAAACTCTTCAACTTAGGAGCCAATTGCTTTCATGTGATTGACACAAATACAGCTTGTGCATATACAGTGCATTTCACAAAGTTTAACTTAATGTAGTGTTAATTGAATATCCCAGTGGCAGCAATTGTTATTGACTAGTGGCTTGTTAAGATCTATGTGAATTGTTGATCTAGCTTTATTGATACTGAAAATAGTTTGATTAACAGTTATGTAACCATGAATATATTTATTATTGTCTTCACCTTCTTATTCTTTCTTTGGAGCTGTGTTTAGATAGGTCATCATGTAGCAGGGTGATCTTCATATCTTTGCTTCCCAATGGACCACTTATCATGTAAGCAGGACTGCCCACCACTTTAACACTGCTGCAATCAGCTGATGTTTTATTTGATGCTGAATGCTGTTCAGGCTCAGCCTTTGACGATGTTGCATGGGTTGAACCAAGTCCTCCAGTGTTTGAGGAGGAAGTGCTAGGGTAAAGCGAGGGTGTATTGACAGGGCGAAAATTGGAAATGGGGCTTTGTCTGTTTGGTTCAGATTGTTGACTTTGGTGATAAACATAGCTTTGACTGCAGTGCTCTCTGGGATAAACATGTTTGACCATGCCCGCAACGTGTCCAGGAACCACTCCACTTTGCACAGGAACATGTTCTGGTGCTGATCTGGACAGAAACAGTGAAGATGGTGGATGATCCTGGTAAGGATTTACACTATGCACAAAGTGTTGTGGTGCTGTGAAGCTTGAAACGACTTGGCTGTTGGGTTGGTGCAACCCACCATGGTTGTGTGTGTGGTCAGCAAAGCCTCTGTTATGAATTATTCTATTTCCACTGTTTGAGACATGCTGTATAACACTCGGAAAGGGTTGCTGATTGTGGGACACTGGCTGGCTGACATGCAGTTGTGGTTGTTTGATCAAGGACTCTGTTGTTGATGTACAACTACCTGCGTGGGAAATTCTGTCACAGCTTTGTCTGCACAAAAATAATTAGAAAAATATATTATGTCATGTCTAGAGGAGGTGGTAGAAACGTGAGAAAAAAGATGCAGTTTGACACCAATGAAGCCAAACTTCAACACCAAAAATGAGACTCTAGACACTCCCCACTGGTCAGGCCCCATTTATGTGTCCCTGGTAGAAGTTTCACCCACCCACCCTGGTTACCCTGGTCAAGCCAACTTTTCCTTTTCCTTTAGGCTGGGCTAGAACTACAAAGAAGGGTGACACCCTTTGCTGGGTCACCCATTTTTTATGGTAGATCACACTTGTAGCTGGGTCAACTTTTCTCCGTTAAAAACACTTTGGCTCACCCACCCGGTTTAACTCGTCAAGCCCTGTATAAATCATCTCTTACCTCAGGCAAAGGGGTCAACTTTTTTTCCATATAAATGCTTGCTAAAGTTGACTCAGCTGGGAGGGTGACCCTCTTAACTTTTCTCTTCTTACTTCTGTGAGAGTTTAGAGACCCTCTTTCCCTCAGACTTTCCTACAACTATTTTATCCACCACAACTGACCAGTAGTGGCCTTAACAGGGAGAGTCCATTATAATACGAGTCTATTGCAGTCAATATATTTTTCCAGGGGGTTTAGTTGACCTGTCCATTTTATTAACTGGGGTGTCCCTAGGCCTAATAGTAAGACCCCAAGGCAAGAATTGACCGTATACATATTTTCTGAAATTGTGGTACATGTTAACTATAAGCCTTATGCAATTCTGCAGTTTTCCCATTTTTTTGTTGCTTGCAACAATGCAAAAGCCCTCCTCTTTAATTATCAATTTGCTATCAGCTTTCTCCAGTGTTTGAACAAAATACACAAATATTTAGACAAGCTTTACGAGGGAAAAGTTGAAAAGAAAATTATAATGATTTGCATCGTCATGGTAAGTCACTTACTGAACAGAAGGTGATATATTACTGTTGTTACTGTAACTGACAAGTGATGACGATACTCCTTTGTTCCCATTGATTTTCTCTAAGACTTTTGATCCTGTAGTTAAGGGAATCCTTTCTTCAGGACTCTCTGGAGTTGGGGGCATACCTAGAAATATTTGCCAAAATTAATAATATAAAACAAACTTGTCGCTTGATCTCTACCACAATCCCCATCCCATGGAAGTTGTTAAAATTGACTGTTTGGGGAATATTGTTTTTGGTTTTTATGAAATAAAGTTCAACCTCCATGTGAGATTACCTCTACTAGGAGACCACCTATAAGGAACCACCTATCCAAAACATTAAAAATATCCCAGTCAAATCACTACAGCTGGACCCTCTGGTGACTGACCACCTCTCATAAGTGACTGCAACCACTTACTTTTTTGGATGGTGGCTATAGAATTTCAACAGTTTTTATCCTCTGTAAGGGACCACTTAAGTCATGGTTTGATCTCTACATATATGTATGTTCGTTGCCAGTACTACACTACTAAGAGAATGCAAAGTACTTTTAGGTACGACATGAAACTACACACATAATTTGTTACTTAGAAATTGCATGCCATAAATTCTTTTCTGAACAGTAGATGTGTTCGGACCTCTTCTAGGAAGGGAACCCTTTGGTTTGATTCTCCTAAGCAACCACCTTCTGTAAGTAAAAACTAAATCTTCACTTTTTGGTGGTCATTCACGGGAGTTTGAGTAGTAATTACCGCAGTGCCATTTTAAAGTCATTGATTGCATTTGCACCTTGGGCTTGTGCTGTTCATTGTTCTGATTTCTGATAGTATTTCAAGTCTCATCTTTTAGATCTCTTTCTGTTCCACAATCAATATTTAATAATAATTTCAACACTGGAGTAAATTTTGCAATAGCATTTTTGTTAAAACTGTTTTTGCAGATTGTGGGTAAAAAAAGCTGCAAAAATCCCATTGTAGTGATGCACAGTATGTTTCTAAGACTAACATTTACCTTCACTTAGCTTCTGTCCAGCCCACTTCAACAGAACTTGATTCATTTTTTCATCTGTGACTGGCAAGTGTATAAAATCATTTATACCATGGGCACTGAAGTCCTCTATAACAAATATATTTTTTTAAAAATTAAACACTTCATTAATTTCATGATAGAGTCATCAGTTACTGTGCAGATGATCCACAAGACATCCACCTAGAGGGTATACTGGATCGCTAAAAAGCTTGCTTATATCTTAAACGAAAAATTTTAACTGAAAATCATCTGTTTACACAGGGAAGGATCTAGGGGGAGGGTGCAGGGGGTGCGCCCCCCCTTGAGATGACCTGCGGTTTTCTAATACAACTGGTATCCTGCAAAAAAAAATTATGTGGTTTATTGGTGTTGAAGTAGAGCAAGAGACGAGTGCACCCCCTCCTAAAAAAATCCTGGATCTGCCCCTGTTACATACCTTTACTTTCCTCTTCCACAACTCCAATTATGGCAACAGAGCGGTTCAGGGAATTAGGATTGTACCTGCAAGCAGTAATTTTAGGCTTAAATCAAAGTAACCTTAATGCTTGACATTCTTAACAAACTCCCTTTACTTTGTTGCAAGTATTAACAAACCAGAAACAGTACACTACAATGTACATATTTATGGCAAACGATAACGTCGAGACACAAGCTTGCAATTTCTCAAGTCAGGAATTGAGCTGATGAAAACTGTCCAAAATAATTCTTATTGATGATGGACGATATGAAACAACTTATTTTGTCTAGATATCATGAAGACTGGAGACAAAAAAGAGAAAATTAAAGGGAAAACTTGATCACGTGCCGGGTGCAAGTTCACGTTGGCCAGTTCGCCCTAAACGTGATTCTTCTCCCTATTGTTAATAAGGTTGCATTGTCTTATTATAGATATCTGAAATCAAGAGAGAATGAACAAAAAGAAACAATCACGAAACTTCGCAGATGCATAGACTTATTCAAGACATATCATTTAGTTTGGATCACGTTTAAATAGAAATTTCACAAACTCGTCGGCACTGGTTCTTTTACTGGAAAGGATTTTTTTAAATCAACTCTTTCTATCCCCCTCCCCTCTTTTAACACTGAGCAACAATAACAACTTATTACAACAGGAAGACAAAACATACAACTGCCCAAATTTAATAGCACTGAATGCTAACATGTCGAATTCTAAATTTCAGAGAAAGACAGTAGTAATATTAACTTAACGATGGCACTCACCTTACCGTAGAGCAAAGTTTCTGAGCATGGCCAGATACAGAAGACATCTCCAGGAAAATGAGCAGGAAGGTCTCTTTTGTACATACTGCACTCAAATCTGTACAACAGCAACTCTCTATCCGTACATCTTCGAGTCGTTTTAGTTCCGTCCATGTTTGACAAAGTTTCCCGCCGTTGCCCTCGTGGACAATCAGAATTTTCTTGTTAAGATCCTGAAAGAGCCATTTATAACAAACACCGGGAAAAAGCTTGAAGCAAAAGCTTAATTAAAACTAGAGAAACATTGTGAAAGCTAGTGCAAGTGCAGTGAACATTTGCGTTCACTCAATCACTGACGAACTAACAATCAAAAATCTCAACTTGAATTTGAACATTTCGCTTGGAAACGCAAAAAAGGACTTAAAGATGGCTAGTTTTAAAATCAGAACACGTATGAAGGAGATACGTGTACAAAGTATTACATGTAAGACACATTTTTTTTCCCCATATTTTTCATAGAGTAAATATACAACGCCATCTTTATAATTTACCTTCTCATAAAACGACGAAGTTCCTCGTTGAAGCAGCTTTTCTTGCGGAGTTTTAAGCCCTCGTTGATTTTCCAGTAGTTGTGTTTTAAACGTGACGTCTCCTTCGCACACAACGGTGTATTCGACAATTTCTGCCGAGTTGTTCTCGACCTCGTCGATGCTTTGCTTTTCATCAATTGTTTCCGCAACCCAAGAATTTGAGCCCTCTTTGAATAGTGCTCGTCTCACCGAGCTCATGACAAACAATTTTAACGCGAAATTCCAAAATCTGCGTCCTTCAGCTGTCGCAAATCGAACAGCTTTGGTGTAAACGAGAGGAAATATTAAGCTTTTGTCTTTTTGGCTCGGTTTTTTTTTTCACGGGCTTATGACAAGCTAACATTCACGTGTGGAACATTCAAATTTGGCGCGGACAGCCGCGCAGATTTAAATTGCCCCAGGCCAATCATACACAATAAAAAAGTCACGTGATTAATCTATCCTTGAAGGGGAAGTGAAGAGCTAGCTGGCTGGTTCCCACGGGAAATCTTAAATACCAAGGCTGCTGTCGTGGGTAGTGGCAAGAGCCATCATTTCGTTTCAAATATATTTTACAACTTTTTTCTATTTATTTCTTTTGTTCAATTACTTTACTTTATCATTTTTTTTTTTCGATACGTTTTTTACCCACGACATTTACGCTAGCCTGAGTATCAGGCGTCTCTGGGGGAAAAGGGGAAAGATGGAAGCGAAAAAGGGAGTGAGCTAAAGGAGAAAAACGCCTGACACAGATGCTTTTACTAGGCTTTTGTACATTATGCTAGCATTTTTTCGAGCATTTTAGTGAGGCAAAAGCATTGAGCATTATTCGAGCATTTTAGTGGCATTTTTCCAGGAAAATTAATTTTTCCGAGAAAATAAAATAGAAACTAATATTTTTTCAGGAGCCCATGCCCCATGAGCTCCCGCTTTTTTAAACAAAATGAAGACTAAAACTCAAAATTCACAAAAAACCTAATACAGCTGGTTTTTTTGGCTGTATTTATAACCTTGTACACGTTGTCGTTGTTACTTGCACGTTTTTGTAACTGTAAACTTTGAAATTAATTTAAAAAACCCGTTTGTATAATGAGCATTATCCGAGCATTTTAGTGACTTTTTTGGGGAGACCGAGCATTTTAGTGGGAAAAATGGAGCATTTTAGTAGGGAAGCAAAAGCATACTGTACAAAAGCCTAGCTTTTACTGGAGCCTTCCACCCCAACACAGCATGATTCGATACCATCGAATCAAAATCAGTTCCGGTCATTGGGTTGTCAGCTTCATGTGTCAAAAAGCTCGCCTAAAATAAATCTCACCTTAACGTCTTTCTCTACTCCCCCTCCAGCCTCCCCCATCTAAAATCTCCTCTACCCTAGCCCCTTAGGAAGGCTTGATACTCAGGCTACATTTACCCACGACCCACGACCCACGACCTCTTGTTGGTAGTGGGTAGAGGTCGTGGGTCGTGGGTCGTGGGCAAAAAACGTATCGAAAAAAAAAATGATAAAGTAAAGTAATTGAAAAAAAGAAATAAATAGAAAAAATGTTGTAAAATATATTTGAAACGAAAATGCCCTTTTCGTCACGGCTTCTTCCTCCTCTGATTTTTCTTAATTAGCTACGTGGGACTTAGCTCCCCTTTCACAACGAGGATGGCTAAATCGCGTGGGTAGTTGGGTCGTGGGTAGTTCGTCGTGGGTCGTGGGTCGTGAGTCGTGAGTCGCCCGCGAGTACTGTGTCAGATGTGTTTCTACACGTAATTTTTGAATAAAGCGAGACCGGTGAAACTCTTTTCTTCCGAATATCAAAACGGTTTGATGTCTGTGAAAAGTAAGTCAGAGAGTATCCAGAATGTAAAGAAGTTTAATATTTTTTTGTTGCAAAGTCTTGATGCATAATGCAACGATTATCTAATTAGTAGCCTGAGAACACTCTCATATGATTGGCCAAAAACTAATTTTGCCCACTAGAGCGCAAGAATCAATGAAGTAGCAGAGTAGTACGCGCCAGTCCTGCCACTGATATTAACACACTTTCATGGGGTCTTTCATTATTTGTTAGTCGGCGCGGCTTGCATTTTTTTAATCACAACTTTTAGTACCCGAGGAAATTTGCTAGCAGAGGTAGTGAAGATTCGTGCAAATTTTCAACATTAATGTTGAAAAACCGGGTAGGCGCGTTGGGTGACAAGGTATCAAAAAACAAACCAAAAAAGGATATGTTCATGACTTCAATTTTATAACGACATTATTTAATATCGTCTAAGAATAACTTACAGAAAAAGCCCCGAAAATTGAGGGCACGAACGTTTTCACACCCTGTGATTTTCCCTGGAAGTGTATGTACCAGGCCTACGAACAACTGTGGTCAGCTCAAGTGAAAACCTCCTTACACAAACTGCCACTAGATTTGTAATTAGGCTCAAAGGTAGAATCGAAGTGTTTAAATGGCGATGATTTCATTCTTTTATGGAATAGTCTTCCCTAAACGTACTGCCTAATTTGGTCTAAAAAACATACTGCAAGGTTTTTTCCAACAATATAGAATGTGACTTGCCTAGTCCTTGTACGGCGTCTTTCCAGGCCCTCTCGGTCAATACATTTCGGTGACGTTTCCGAGACGAACGGACCACGTGACCCGAAATGCATCGGCCTCGCATAATATTGAGGCCTGGGGGCTAGGTTGCCTGAGGCTAGGTTGCCTGGAGAGTACAGAGGATAAAGAGTTAAACCGAGCATTTTTATTCTATGCACGTTTTCATTGTTGAAAGTCCTTTGGCCTCTCTTTTTCATTTATCTCATTAAACTAATTTGAACTTTATTTCATTTCATTTGCACGTTATACAGCAGTATTCTTTCCGATTCAAAGTAATATTTTTGTTCTTTGATAGCAGAAACCAGGTTAGTGCCGATCTTTGAGCGAAGGATATTCACGCGCAAAGTTATTTATAGATTATTTCAGTTGAACGTGGGAACTTTCCAAAAATGCAAAAATGCTCACGAATGCGCACTCCGAGATGGTCTAGGCGTCTCCCGGCCGTTCGTCTCGGATACGTCACCGAAATGCATTGACCGAGAGGGCCTGGAAAGACAGGGACTAGGCAAGGGGCTAGGCAAGAGCCGCAATTAATAGAATTTCCTTTTAACCGAAAGTGGTTTTCTTGGACGCATGTGCATTTCATTAAGAACTCAGAGTGTGCGAGGAGTATGTGGGAAAATGGGAGCAGAACCGGGGAGGACATATTTCGCTGATAAATTTGCTTTAGTGGATTTTATCGGGAAAACTTTTTCGTTAATGCGAAGGGTCGTGTAAAGGAAGACAGGGCCTTTAAATTCTACGAGCAAGAGTCTTCTCTAAGAGGCATGAGCTATCACGCACGACGCACAACGCACCGCGCACGACGCACGACCCACGACACACGACCCACTACCCACCCACCCACGGCATGCTCCAGGGCTCCGGGAGCAAAGCTCCTCCGTGTAAATCAACGATTCCATAGGTATACTACATCCTCGGGAGCAGAATTTCCACCCCGCAAAATGTTCCACGATATTTAACCAGTTAAATATTTGGGAGCAAGCTCCCGGGGCAAATTCAGCGAACTTGAAAACGCTCCCTTGTGGGTACTGACACTTTTTGTTGCGCGCGGATTAATACGGCAAATGTAAAACATTAACCAATCAAATTAGCCAATATGTTCATCCACTCCTCTGGCACCCTTGACTCGTGCTCAAAATTCAACATGGAGTCGACCTAAAGTGTAGAAGTTGATGATCTCGAAGTTTGCGTATGGCATTCTCATGTATTCACAAAATGTCTGAATCTTCCACGGATAGTTCTCGAAAAATAGTATAAAAGCCCCTTTTCTCCTGTTTTTCCGAAGCCACAGGCGAGCCCAAGTTTTCCTGGCATTTTTTACTAACTGATGAGTCATCTTCAAGCATCATCATCATCATCATCATCATCATCATCATCATCATCATCATCATCATCATCAAAAGAACTAGTTCCCAAACCCCCGTCTGGTGAGTATCAGCTATCCCACACCAAGTTTCTTTCGTTTGCTCCTGCAGTATGACCTCTCGTGTGCGCTGGCAGTACACAATGAGCCCGGAGCATGTTCCGGGAGCAAAACCCCTCGTGTCTATTGGCCTTAAGCGGCGAAGGCAACGCCGGAAAACGGTGAAAAACAACAATAAATCTAATTAGCAAAAAAGCAACTTTGCACGTGCAGCACCCTTTTTTTGTACATTTCTTTGCTGTTGTTTGACACGACTACAACGTAAAACCTCCAGAAACTTCTTAGTTACAAGTTTTATGGAGGAAATGTCGTACGCGTTCTCGTTCACTTTTTTTTCACTGCCGCTCATTTTCACCTTGCATTCATCAACCTCATCCCAACAACTAGGTCAGTTATAATCTTGGGGGAGTTAGCGGCCGTCCAAATCTACCCATGCAATGGATAGTCAAACTACGAAACAAACAAATCCTTATGCCCACACGTTGGCCAGGAAATGGCCCACTAAATCGCTTCTTCTTTGATGCCAGAAAGTCCTTTGGGAGTGAGGAGGGAATTCTTTCCTTTTTTGTATATTTACCTATACAATCTTAGACACAATAAAATGAACAGCAAACCCCTATTCCTCCAAAATCAAGGATGAAGCCGCGCCGAAGCCAACATGTGCCATTTTCCCAGCCGTGATTTTGAAAGGGGGGAGGGGCTAAATTCTCCATCAATTTTGTCCAAGAATATAATCTTGGACAGAAGAAAAAGTAACGGCAAACCCTCACCTCACCCCGCCCTCCCCCGCGAAATCAAAGATGAAGCTGCGCGAAAGCCAAAATGAGCCATTTTCTTTCCCTTGATTGGGGAGGGGGGGGGAGGGTCTAAATTTGTCCAAGATTGTAGGCTTTACATGTAATAAGATGACATACGCGTGTCATAAGTAGACACAAGGCAGTAACGAACATAAGCAGCCTGAGAAAACGGCCAACATCCTGTGAAGCCAGCACATCTCTAACCAGGCTAACCTGGTGTCAATGCATACTACGGCCCTTTTCAATTGTTGGTTTTCACATGACGTCACTAAAATTCAAACTACAAAACTATCGCGCCTACGGACATTTTACTTTCATGGTGCTGGTTAGAGCAGCTGAACACTAATTTTCAAACAAACTTTCGCTTCAAAAGGGCTCTTGGTTTTGTAATAGAGTACGCTTGAATTTCTAAGCTTTTGCGTGACGCAGCATTTACATGACGGCCGAGAGAGCTGTCATATAGCT